GATGAATAGATCCAAAACTAATAGAGGAAGGAAAAACCATAACACGGATATCCACATTTATGTTGATAGTTCCTCTTCTTTTCCTTTCCTGGTACCATCTCCCCTTTTCAGGTGTCAAAGAAACGCAATGTACAGTATCTCTTATCTGAAACAATTCCCTAAACAATTGAATGAGACTAAGAGGTACAAACAATTAGGTTAAGCTGCCCACCCTGTTTTTAGGAACTAAAGGGCAATGTATGCGTTTGTAACACTGTAAGCATTAATTGCAAGTATTCCTAATTTGAATAAAGAATAGAGTATATCAAAAGTATCCTCCATGGCACTCAGATATAAAATGTGCTTTCTTTGAAGGAACAATGCACTCAAGATTCACAGAATATCCTGATTAACTTAATTTACATTTTGGTAAAATTAAAGTAAGTTGTTTAGGAAGTTAATGAAGAACTCAGACTGTTTCTTCTAAACATGCAGAAAATGGAGTATTTACAAGGAGTGATTAGATTATATATTTATACTGGCAGTCCTAGGGCAAAGCATTCATCTTACATCTGCTTTATGGTTTGCCAGATATTTTGTATTAAATTACACTAAAATTCTGATTATAGTGTATTACTGCATTGTTGTTGTTTTGAATAATGTTGGCATTTCTTTTGTTAACCATTCACTGCTATGAAACTAGTGAACTAAGGCTTAATTGAAGAAGCACCATCTGCTACTGTGAAGTTTCAAGCAAATAAAGATATTTATGAAATAATTGGAATGAAATACAGACACCATATCAATCCAGCACGATGTTCCAACTGGCAAATCATAGTTTATGATCAGCAAGCAAGTCAGAATCAAAATCATTTTGATCACTGTCTCAAAATATAGTTAATGCTGTATGTGACTTGGCATAGTAGTTGCACTAAATTATTTATTCTGCCTTGGGAAGAATTCATCTTGAAGAAATTCAAAATAATTTGGATTCTGGAGAGCCTGGAGTTGGGGAGGAGCTGAATACACAGCTCCTGCTGGAAAAGGAAGCTTCTATATGTTGAATTCTGAAGTTTAATTTGAAGCCTCAATTAGTGTCCCCAAACAACTGTTATCAATAATAGTAGCATCACCTTTATTGGGTATCAACACCTTCATTAACACAATTGCCTATAGTCTTGAGCTGGACCTTTGGATTATCAACTGTTTTACTGTTCTTCTCCAAATAAATTACATTTCCTGTATTAATATTAATACACAAACCTGTTTTATAACAGCATACAATTTTGAAAGCAAAAATAGAGTAGATTTAATGTAAAGACTACAAATGCAGTTTTCTTCCTAGAAGATAGCTTATCTGAAATATACTAAAGCATTCAAAGATCTACATTGACTTCACATTCACACTAGATGTGCCAGCTGTTCTTGTCAACATCATAGAGGCAAGGACCATGCACAGAGATGACTCACATCTAGAACACATGGAAGCAGCTTATTAATTTCTTCTCTAGCCTTTGTCAAATGTTCTACAGCTATATATAAAGCTGAGAAAGAAGCATAATTCACTCATGGAAAGTTGAAAATAAGTCCATTTGTCTCTCAACCCTTTGCCCAAGGTAATATGTATGTGGCAAATTATATAGCTGATTAAAGTTATAAATTCCTCAACATCTCTTCCCTAGCCTTTTTCAAATGGCTATATAAAAATCAGAAAAATCTCATTCAAAATGAACTAGTCAGTTTTTCTCTTAACTTTTTGCCCAAGGTAATATTTTTAAATTTTAAGTTCAGCCAAATTCTTCTAAAGCAAGCTGCTCCCTTAAAACATACTGCCTTCTTTGACTCTTAAACCAATATTGTTTTCGCAGTTCACAAATTAAAGCAGCACTCTTGTATCAACTGCTCTTTAGTGCTCTGTTTACCATCTACTGGAACAATTACTAACATCACGCTGGGCTAGTGAAAACAGCAAATAGATGCACTAAAAGGCTGGGACACAGGCAGCAGAATGATTTACCCCAATTTGAAATACACCCACATTATACGCAGCTGCTATTAAGATCACTTACACTGCTGAGATCAACAGAGTTACACTGCCTTAGACCTGCTTTTTACTTCCCAAAGTGTAATTCAAGGTTATGTTATGATTTAGTGGATAAAACCACTCAGATCCAAGCAGAGCTGGACTCTTGCTAGACAGTTCCAATGGAAATGACTGGGTTTTTGTCTTGTGAAGTCATCTGTGATCGATGTGAGATTTTGAGTATCATGGAAGTGGATAAAGGTCTCTATGGTGTCAACTCTGCTACTTTTCAACTAGATTCCTATTTCTGATGGTTAGTCAAGGGCTCTCACAGATGGTAAGAGGTTAGGACTGAGCAGTAATTTATACCTCTCTAAAAGAAGCTGTGGTAGGCCCACTATTCACAAAGCCTTCCCTCAACCTGGCTACTCTTGATAATTTTGGACAGCTCTCCAGTTTCCCTTTCCAGAAAAGGCAGTAGAGAAAGTGATGCCGCTGCAACTTCAGAAGGCTCCAGAGGAATGGGATTAACTGGATCTTGGCAGAGAGGTTTTACCGTATAGCATAGAAACTGTGTTGATCACATTTGTGGATGAGCTTTAGAGAGACTGGGTTTAGGAGAGTGCAACCCTATTGGTCCTCCTTGATTACTCAATGGATCTATGATATCTTGATGGACCATCTTTATAGGACTGGAATGGTGGGCCATTCTTCACTGATTTTCCTCCTGCCCAAGGAGTTAGTTCTAAATGGTATTTGAGGGGGGGATGAGAGATCAGCTCAGAGGTCTCTACTTCATTGATTGCCTTAAGGCTGTCTACTCTCTCCGTTCCTCTTTAACATCTACCTAGAACAGTTGAAGGAGGGTATCTATCAGCAGAGAATAGAGTATCTTTGGCATAACTTCTGGTACCTACTTACACAGCAATAACTAGAAAATATATTTGTTTATAAAATTTATTTCCCATTCATCTTATATCCAGCGATGTTATGAATCTCTTGCAAAATACAAGTCATTAACAATATTTTCTTCTCCTGATAATTGCTATATGGTTGTGTTAAAATAAAAGTAAAGTTTTCTCTGTCCAATCATATACAACCCTAGGATGCAGCGCTCATCTCCATTTCTTGGCTGAGGGACCAGCATTGTCCAAGAATGCTTCTGTGATCATGTGGTCTACACAGGTATATGCCAAAGGTGCAAGGAACACTGTTACCTTTCTAGTAAAGCACTACCTATTAATCTACTTGCATTTGCGTGCTTTCAAACTGCTACGTGGGTAGGAGCTGGGCAGGAACGGGAGTTCACCCTGTTGCGTGGCACTTGGGTCTCGAACTTGAGCTGTCAGCTTTCCAACTATCAAGTTCAGTGTGTTTAAATGCTGAGTCATTGCACTCCCCTTTTTAAACTGTATTATTTACTGTATTTATAAAGTGCATTAAGGCAAAAATGGCTTGCCTTATATTTAGCATAATGTACGAGCGTACAATAACACATGAAGCCAGAGAGAAGATAACATTGGCTACAGTCACTGCGTTCTCAACACTTAGATGATCCAGAAACTGCAACTACTGTATGAAAAATAGGGAAGAGTCCCTATTGTCAGCCCTGGAGCCATTCTCCCTGGCCCCTGGCATCTTCAGGGCTGCCACAGTGGAAGCCAAGTGAGCCGTGGGAACTGGGGGGGGAGGGGAGGTAGAGATAGCAAGGACTTTGAAACCAAAATGAAATTCTTTCCTCTAAGGACCAAGGACATTCCCACCAGGTATGAGGAGGCTGGACATGAGTCCGGATGAACTTTGGATTGTGACCTGATTGGGCATGTGATGATCTGCATGGGCAGGAAGAGGAAAAATGCATTTTTAACTAGGGGGAAACCTGAGGGACTTTAGAGTTGGGTTTCCCCAGATGGGCCAATATGACATACCTAATAAATTTTTACTTTGAGAAATATGCTTGCCTTGGAGTTTTGATTCTGTTGGGGTGTTACCTGGAACCCTGACACTATATTGATTGGAACACCTGATAGTGTCATGAAAGCACTAAAGGATCTGCATTGATTGCCAGTTTGTTTCCAAGTGCAGTTCAATGCTGGTAATCACCTTGAAAGTTCCAGAGGGCTAAAGTCTGGCTTCTTATGACACTATTATAGACAAAGTAAAATCTGTCCTTCTGCTCCCAATTTTAATATTCAGGAAGTTTTAAAAACCATACCTTTTTAAATATGCAATTTGAAGCAGTTGTATGCTTCACTATACTTACTGAAACAGTAGTGGGTGGAAGTAATTTTATGTAATGAATATTTTGTAATTCAGGGATCTTTGACACTACAGTTTTATATTTGTATTCTATAATTTATTGAATATTTTGATACATTTTTATCACTAGATTGATATATATTTGTACATTGCCAAACTAAAGCAAATTCCTTACACCATTAAAGGTATACTCTGAGAACCTCTAGGGAGGAGCTGAGTTGACCTTCTTCCTCCCCCTCAACCTATCTAAAACTTTGCTGTCTTTTATTCCTCTGAAATGCATATTCTCCCTCCTGGGAATCCAGACTACATTCAACCACACCATGAACCAGTCAGCTTTTTGGCAGTTGGTGGTAGCACAACCATAATAAAGTATACTTTTTGTACATTTGGGTTATTTTTTACTTCTAGTGACTGCAGATGAATTTCTAAATAAAGCTTGCATTGTGATTTAAATGAACTTTAAATTTCAAGAGCCAGTTTGGTCTAGTATTTAAGGTACCAGGCCAGAAAGCAAGAGACAGTGAGTTCTAGTCCCGCCTTAGTCTTGAAAGTCAGCTGGGTGGTATTAGGACAGTCACTCTCTCAGCCCAATCTACCGCACAGGGTTGTTGTTGTTGAGAAAATAGGAGGAAGGAATATTAAATATGCTTGCCACCTTGAGTTATTTATAAAAATAATAAGTAAATAAATTTCATGCCTGTAATTTACACTAACTTCATTCATATACTTGACTTACCTAATTCTTTAGATCCTTGACTTTCACTGGCCAATTCTCCCATTTTAACCAGGGCATCAAAATATCCTTTTGCAGCATATGTCACACCTAGATAATAAAAAGTATAAAATTAAAACATTACACCATATTTATTTTAACTTAAATTCTCAAAATATCACACAAAAGGGTTTTAATAGCATTCATTAAAATAGCATGTTCAATTACTTTAATTAATAATAGTAATGATACCGTATAACCATTTATAATTATAACAAACAAATTAATTATTATTAAAACTATTACTATTAATATTGTTTAATTTTGCAGAATATTAGCAAGAAATCAAAATGGCATCTTTAAAATTACCAGAAGATCCTATTATAGCTTTTAACAGCTTTTGCTGTCTAGATGTTAGGGTTGTAGAAAACATCCCATATAAATTAAATACAGGAAATTAAGGAAACCCTACAATTTGCAAAATTTCAGTCCAGTTCCACATTATTATAGATAACCTTCAACTTAAGACCACAACTGAGCCCAAAATTTCTGTTGGTAAACAAGAGAGTTGTTACGTGAGTTTTGTCCCATTTTACAATCCTTCTTGCCAGCTGTTCTGTTAGTAACATGGTTGTAAAGTAATCTGGCTTCCCCACTGACTTTACTTGTTGGAAATTCACAAAAGATGATCACGTGACCCAGGGACATTGCAACCGTCATAAATACATGCCAGTTGCCAAGCATATGAAGTGTGATCATGTGACTGTGGGGATGCTGCAGTGGTTGAAAGTGTGAAACATGGTTATAAGTCCCTTTTTTCAGTGCCTTTCTAAGTTCAAACTGACATTAAACATATGGTTGTAACTTAAGGACTTCCTGTATTCCATCAGTATTCCCTAACCTGGACCTCCAGGAGATGTGTGAATTTCAGCTTCTCAAATTGGCATCTAGGCTGAGAAGATTCAAAATGTAAAATGTGTTGGACCTTTTATCATTAGGCCACCTCCAAACTTTGTTAAGAATTGGAAATTTCTTCAAAGTCAGAAAATGGGAAGCTACCAACCTGATGGATTTGTCTGGATTGCTTAAGCTTTTGGAATCTGGGTGTACAGACTGAAATTACCTTTTCCAAGACAGCCCAATGAAGCATACACATCCTTGACATTACCTTAAGAACAGCTCTAAAACTATTATCAAGATCTATTTATTTATTTAGCATACGGCATAATATTAAGAAACTAACTAGCGTGGGCTTTCAAATGCAGCTCCTAGATTTAAGGTGGTTTGTTGAAATTCTAACTGCACACACATCATTTTAATCAGATAAGGAGAGAGCTCCTCATAGTCAACAAGAACACATTGCATAAGCTTTTTCACTAACTTGTGACAATTTGTGAAAATAGTTTTGCCTCAAGCTATGTTGCTCTTACAAATGCTATCTATTTAAAATGCTTACCTTTCAAGAGAACCCAGATCAGAAAATGAAGGAGAGGGAAAGACTGCCATTTATTACTATAGATTTATGATGGAAATATGTAAATTCAAGCTTGAATCAGATGAAACTAGAGCGGAAGCATCAATTCTCATTTAAATATCTTAATGTATTTCTCTTTCAACTTAATCTAGAATAAATACTGACCAAGCATGAAAGAAGTTATGCAGTATTTTTTAAATACAGTTGTGTTAAATGAGTTTAATGTAGTCACATCCCTCTTCTATAATACAAGGTATTAATTGATTTCTCTTTTATTTTTAAAGCATAGTTACTGGTTCCTTTTTTTTTAAAAAAAACTGAGCTCTAAAAGTCCACTTATCCTCCAATACGTTTCTTGGGCTCTGCAGCTATTGATACAAATATATATTGGTATATAAGGACTCCAGTTATCATTTGGTTCAAAGCTATGTGAAACTAAGCCAAAGTTCAACAGTTCTCTAAATGTTTATTCTTTCTCTTTAGTAAAATTATACTTTTCCACATTTCACAGTTGAACAAGAAGAGATTTACTTGTAATTCTTCCATGCCTAGTCCTTCTAACACTTCGTCTCCAGAAATGTCAGGATTTCAACACACAAAATTCCCAGACGTTACAGTTCATTGTCTGCCCTATATTTAATTTATACCTTTTGCCTATTCCATAATAGTTACCATAACTAAATGGCCCATAACAATTTCAGCCCTTTATTATATTGCATCTTAAAATCCAAAGCATAATTTGACCTCATAATAAATCTTCTTGCATTTGTTAGAAGGGTAACAGCTTTCAAAATTCAGCAATAATTACATTAACCAATATCTGGATGTGCACTTAATTGTGGGAAGGATAATGGTGTAGATTACTTCTTGGCCTTTTGCCTAAAAGCAAATATGTATGGGACAGGGGTTGCCAACCTTTTGGATATCAGGGACCACCAAACTCATAATTTTAAATCCCAGGGACTACTAAGAGGTTCTGTGGGCATGGCCTAATTTGTGGGTATGGCTTGGTGGTCACGTGACTGGCTGGGCATGGTTAGTATGTAAATATTATAAATATTTATATAAATATTGATTTTTTTATTAAAAAAGAGCAACTTTTACCGAAAATCAGGCAAAGCAGGCAGGCAGATTGAGTTGCTCACAGAATCATTCAGTGATCTACCTATCTGCCATCGGCTAGCTCAGTCTCTCAAATTTGCTTGCCATGAGTCTGCACTGAATAATAGAAACTTCAGTCCTAAGGGAGGTTCGGCTGTGCTTAAAAGCAGAACCGAAGTTCTAAAGACTAGCTAGAAAGCAAGAAATCCAACCATTTCCTGCTTCCTAGCTAATCTAAATCTCCAGGCACAGCAGAACAGATGATGGTCGGAAAAAGGAAAAATAGCAATTTAGCAGGCAACTTTGCCAGGTAAGGAGTTAGTGGGCAGGGCAGCCTTGTGTTTCTGCGCAGCCTGGAAAATTGCTTTGGGGGGGTGCTCTGGGGGTGAGATTTCTCTGCAGCCCAACAAAATTTTCTCACAGCCCACCGTTTGGTGACCGCTAGTATGGGACAAATGTAGATAATGCAATTTTAAAAGATCATTCTGAAAAATCTGAATTGCAAAGTAACTATCATGAATAAATATACAGTATGGTCATAAATATTCATTTTAACCTCGTTTAATAAATGTTTTCCATGCAAGAATACAAAGGAATTGTATTCAAATGCTGGATTTTAAATTAGTTGCATTGTCATAAATCATGCTATGTCTTTTACTTCCGCTGATTTTGGTCATAGACTTATATGCAAGTATACAATTTTCCCCTTGTTTCATAGGCTACTCCAACTGTAAAGCAGTCACAAGTATCCATATTTTATACATACATACATACATACATACATACATACATACATACATACATACAAAAAGAATGTGAATCAAAGATGAGGAGTCTATGACCAACAGCGAGGGATGCTGGGATATGCAATTTAGTAACATCTTGGGGGGGGGGGCACAGATTCCCATCCCTGTCCATTTATTGTTTATACTTACAATGTTTATATAGATAATCCTTGACTCATGACCTCAATTGGGACTGGAATTTCAGTCATAAGTCAAGGTACTCATGTGATTGAACTCAATTTTTTTGCTACTTTTACAGCAGTTGTTAAACAAATCACATAGTTGTAAGTTGAACTAATGCTATCATTAAGCAAATCCATTCCCCTCATGGGCATGTTTGGGTTTTTTTACCAGACACTTCCAAAAAACATCACAAATTGTGGTCACGTGACCGCAGAACACTGCAACTGATTAGTAAATGCAAAGCAGTTGCTAAGAGCCCAAAGTTGTGTGACTGTGGGGTGAGCAGGCAGTGGTGCAATGGTTTATGATGTGTTTTATGGGCCATGACGCCCCCTTTCTGGGGCTGTTGTAACTTTAAATAGTCATTAAACAACTGGTCATAAGTCAAGGACTACTTATACTGATCCAAAGCAAAGTGGAAAAAGTATATTATTCTTGCAAAATTGTCTATTAGATATCCTTGGGTATATGAATCAATTCATTATGATGAGGGGTCCTTGGTGCTCTCTGAGCTTAGTTGCTTTCTTGCAGATGTTTCATTACCCAAACTTGGTAACATCATCAGTGCTAATACACTGATAATGTTATCTGGTTCGAGTAATGAAATATCTGAAAGAAAGCAACTAAGCTCAGACAATAGCAAGGATTTCTCATTTCAACCCTGTATTCTCTTTTATTTTGATGAGCTAGAAAAGCATTATATGTCAAAATGTTATCAAAAAGGGACTGCATAATTTCATGCATTTTTATGATAAAATAACATCTTCTTACGTAAATTTTCTTTCTGGCAAAAGATTATCAAAACACATTTTAAATCAAAGTTTCAATACTTCAGCTTGTTCTGAAGATTGCGATTCAGTCTCTGAATACACAGAATAGAAAAGTGCAGCTCTTGGATGTATATGGAGTTCTCTTGCTATGAGAAAGCCTGGCTCTGTTTGCACCTTAGAAAATGTAGACTTTTAGCAGGTATCAGCACCTCAAGTAGCCACTGGAAAACAGCTCAAAGGTATGCTATGTAGCTGGCTCACAAAAGTAATCAGCTGGTTTTAACAGATTTCTCTAAATCAGAAGATCTAGTATTCACACTGATCTGATTCTGCTGGCTCCACTAGCAAAGCAATGGGACAAAGCTATATAATATCTCTGTGCTGCATATATATTGGAGGAAGCTGGATTGGAAGAAGAGGAGGTTGGTTTCAAAATTGATGAAAGAAACATGAATAATCTAATGCTATGCTGCTGACATTAATATGATAGCTGAAAATGCATATAATCTGCAAGCTCTCGTAATGAAAGCCAAAGAACACAATGAAAAATGGCACATTAAACACACAGAAGCCCAAACTAATAATACCAGGTACTGTGACCAACCTTAGAACTGACATTGAAATGGTAGATAGTTTCTGCCTTTTAGCCTTTTGGTAGATAGTTTTATCAACAATAAAAGAACCAGCAGTCAAGAAATAAGCCACAGACTAATACCTGGTAGGGTACCAATTAAGGACTTAGAAAAGATATACTGATTCTGTGATGTGTACAAAGATCAGAACTGTGCAGGCAATTATTTTCTTGCAGCACTATAGAAGCAAAAGCTGGACTCTAAAAACAGAAGGGTAGAAAATGAAACTTTAGAACTTTGTGTTGAGGAAGATTCTTGAGAATACCATGGACAGCAAGAAAACAAACACATTAATCATAGAACAAAGAACTAAGCTCTAATTCTGGATATATTATGAAAAGAATCAGCTCCCTTGGGGAAAAAAATCTGTAACTCTGGGAAAGGTGAAAGGAAAAAAGAAGATAACCAACCACAATGTGGCTTACAAATTACAGTGGTGATAGGGGCACTTTTGAGAGATCTGAATGGCCAAATCAGGTATACATAATCCTAGAAGAGATCTATGGGTGCATTTAGAGTCAACGCTGACTTGGTGGCACAAAAAACAGCAAGCAAAAATCCCAAGGATACTGGCCAAAGCTGTATTTCAAACAAGATGGCAAAGTCAGCTGATATAGAGAACAGCTAAGGAATTGTGAAACAATTTAAGAAGATTTTTTGGGGGGAAACACACCCTGATTAGTAATTAAATACTATTTTGTTCCTTACATCCCTGAGACATAGCGGACAAATGCAGTTGACCTGCACTTTGGAACTGAAAAAAAATTAATGAAACAGCAAAGAAACATCAGGGGGAAAAACACACAACTGATCTCCAAAATGAGTTGAAACACTGACAAAAACATATAAAGATTGTCCAGCTCAGGGAAAGTAGCCAGAACAGAAAGTGAGATGAACTATGTCCATAAGAAAATGTATTCTCCTTGGCTATGTCTCCAAAATATAACAGTTACCTTTACCAACCAAAGCTACTTTCCAAAACTATGAAATTTACTATGTTCTATTATTGTGAAGAGTCTTGGATCTGGATTGGATTTGAGTTAATTTGGCTCTAGATGAGATGAATGGCCCCAAAATAAAATCTAACCAATCTAAATCTAAGCTGTATTTTGCATTTCCAAAACAGGGGGAATCACTATTGTTTGATTTCTAGAGAGAACCCTGTTGCAAATTGAATAAACCTTAACAACCTGCTTGAGAACATTCATATTATTTTGACTTAATAAAGATATTTTTATGATGTGGCTATTGGAATGTTTCTTATTGTCCATCAACATGATTTCTACTGGGTTCTTGGTGTCAAAGCGTTACCCTGAGAACAGCAGTACACCTCTCTCTAGAAAACACAAATATATGCTCATAAGCTTAAGAATGGAATTCAAAAATGAGGTTTAGATAAATTGCTTTCATTGCAGATAGCGAGAAAGTTCTCGGCACAGCAAAGATCAGCTATTATGGAATGTAGAAATCTAGCCATGTTTATGTATCAACACCAAATTCTCTCTCCATCTCTTTCTCCTGCACTTACATGTCATGGATTTTTTTTGCCATCCATTTGTCAGCTTTGGATGTTGAAGGGACTTCCAGAGTATTTGGATAATAGTATTATATAGTCTTGGGATCTTTATTTCTAATCTTGGTAGCTCCACCCTTTTATTTGGTGTCTTTTATTGAAGCTTCTCTTTTCATAAGCAAGAGTCAACTTCTGTCAGCCCTTTGAGGTAGGCCAAGTCAAGAAGTCAGATATCACAAGGACTACTGGAACTATTGTATTATTGTAAGATATAATAATAAAATCTTTGGAGCCTGCAAGCATTTCCCTATTAGCTTATAGTTACGGTGACCATATTTTCTTGGAAGAAAATGAACAAACTTAAAAAAGGGAAAACTCTGAAAAAGGCTGCTAAGGATAAAAAAATTAATTAATTGTTTATGTTTATAATTTTGTAGGGTTTTGTTTTGTTTTTGTTTTTGTAAATTCAAGAGCTTTGCCAAGATGCATATTCTAATAAAAATATTCAAAATCAAACAGAATGTATTAAATTTATTTTAAAAGGACAATATAATTTCCATATTTTTACGCGAATGTTCATTTTGTGGCACAATTTGTACAGTAAAAGTTAAATCATCAAAATAAAGGTTAAATGTGAATTTTTGAAAAATAAATACATATTTCTGAAATAAAACATAACATAACATAGGATATGAGGTTTATAACATAGGATATGTGGTTACTGAACCTACATTATACAGAAACTTGCAAGAAGTGGCTATTTTGAATATTTTGATCTCTTTTTCATGTTTCTGCTTGTCTTAGGGCTGTAACACTTGCCTCCCACAGTCATTTATGGTCTCTTTTGTTTGTTAACAGTTCTTGCATTCCTTCAACAATGTGACCTCTGCTTTTCTCTACAACACTGGATAGAGCTGATCTTGCCTAAGAAGCTTCTCATGATTACATGTGTTAAAAATGGCTGATGTGAAATACAGTTAGTCCTCAATTTATGACCACAGTTGGATCTGGAATTTTGGCCAAAAATCAGGGTGGTTATTGCGTGGATTGCCATGTGACCAGATTTGATTATACAACTGCTTTTGCAAAGGTCATAAAGTGAGTCACCACAATTATTAAGCGAACCACCTAATTGTTAAGTGAATCCAGCATATCCAATTGGTGTTTTTTGTTGTTTTCTGCTGAAAACTGGCAAAAAAACATTAAAAATTGAAGGAACATGACCAAGCTGCAGCCAGTCATGTGACTGTGGGAGGCCAGGGTGACATTTTACAATTGTCAGAAAAGCTTTATGGGCCATAAAAAACCCTTTACAAAGTTGAAGTAACTCCAAACAGTCATGAAGCAACTGGTCATTAAGCGAGGACTACCTGTGCCCTCAAATCGTAAGATTTAAGTAAATTGTTCATCAGTCCCACTACATGTAATCTGGATAAGGTTGCAATGGACACACTGGCTAAAGTTGAGAATATGAAACCAGTTTTGCCTAAGTTTAACTCAAACCTTTCATCTTATGTGTCAGCTAAACTTTAAACACTTTAAAAATGATTGAAACGCCCATTTTGAACTTGAAATAAGGAATTTTTCACTCAAAACAATTATTCTAAACTTGATGTAGGGCATTTCAATTTCAAAAACATTTCAATTCAAAACTTTTGCATATCTCTACCAATTCAGGTCTATCAATAAAACAATTTGTCTGCAATTGTTATTTTTTTAAAAAAGATATAGTATGTTAAGAAAGTACAGAGAGACAAGATGACATGAAGAGACTAAGAAAACTGAAGTCCCAAGAATACAGAATGGGTTATCCTGTTGATAAACCAGCAGCCTGTTCCTGGCTCATAATTGTAAAGAAGATCTTCTGTATTATAGTACTCTAAGTCTTAAGAGAGCTTTCATGCCTCATATGTCATAAAGAATACTACCCTTGTAATTTAATTCAAAGAACTGCTTGGTAGTTTGTCTGGGACAGCTGAAAGCTTCTTTAGCACTAAGAATGATACTGACAACACTTTCCACAGATACTACTAGTTATTCCCACCTTTGCCATCACCAAAGGTTTAAAAAAAAAGAGGTGCCATTTCTACAGTTGTCATAAGACAGCCATGATAAACTAATACAGTGTTATTTCACTTACCTGCCAAGGCCTTTTCATAGTTCTTTCCCATAGATATGAAGTTCCGGAGGCTGGGATTAAATTGTTCCATGATTGTCTATAAGAAAACAAAAGACATTAGCAATCTAAATATGGGAGCCATTTGTGTTTTTCTACTCCTTCGCTATAATGTGTATAAATACACAAGATTCAATCCATTATCCTATGAATTCTTAGAAAGGGAACCCTTCCATATCCACATACACAGGCAATACAAACTTAAGTCACTGTTCAGCAGAGGGCTGGATTAGAAGACCTCTTGGAAGGTCCCTTCCAGCTCTACTCTGATTGATTGATATTTTTTAAGATAATAATGTATTCTAACAATTTTTTCTATGATTTAACTATATAGCTATATACAATATGAAGTCCAGGCCCTACAACTTTCTTGTATGACTATTCAGTTTGCCAGGAATGAAAAATATGAAACCCTTAGCTATGAGATATATACAATGAAATATGTAAACACAACACAGCTAAATAAGTCAATTGAACTGGTTGGATGCCATCTTACATATATTTTTACAAAGGTACTTTTCTCAAATTTTACAACACTAATATAAACATTATACTTCAACCCCCAGTTAAACATAGGGGCTTGATAGGCTATTTACTGTATTTATTTGTCTTATATAGCCACCAATTTGGACATAGGCAGTTTATATTAAAAAACCAATAAAAGAACAATCAGAGTGTGAAAAGTGTAAACATTAAGCAGGGAAGTACATAAATACAGTTTCAACCATCTCTCATCATTCCATGGGGATCACAAAACACCTTGTTCCCTAGTTCCTTGAAAAAACCAAGCTTTTGATGTCTTTCTAAAGCAGCGTTCTTGGGAAATGAAGCAATAACAGAGAAGCCCTTACTGCATACTCTTAGCACTAGCAATCCTCACGGGACTAGCAATCCCACAAATGAGCCTCACTCCGATGTCCTTCTGGAAAACTATAAAAATCTGGCTTTTCTGTAGGGTTTTTCAGGATGGAGACCAGTATTAATCGCTAACCAAGTGCTCCAGTACCAAAGTAACAACCCAACCTCCCACATGAGGAGCTGTCTAACAACATTATTCAGACAATTACAAGCAAAATGAGCAGCAGAAAAAGGAAACCGATTCTCTATCCAACATCTTCCAACAAAATGGATGGATACCCATTAGGAGTGGACTTCAAAAAGTTTAGCAAAGGGTTCTCTGCCCGGTTGCTGGGTAAGTGTGGTCATGGTGGCTGTGGCCTAGTCAGCCTCCTGCACCACAGTGTGTGTGTGGGGGGGGGGGTGTTTTTCCCTCCCTGGGTTCTGGAGGCTTTCCTCAAGCCTCCAGGAGGGCGAAAACAACCTCCCTGGGCTCCGGAAGCTCTCTGGAAGCTGGAAACAGGCCCATTTTTGGCCTTCCTGAACTTCTGGGAGGCTCCTTTTTATCAAAAAGTGTCTAACCACTCAATTTACCACAGCGTAACCAACACAAGCTATGAAAAGGGCAATACTGCCATACAATATAAACATATCAGAAACAACCAACAGACCATTACAAGCACATAGCATCACTGTAGCACATAGGCCAACTAAAGCCCTCCAAAATACCTTAAATAAATCAGAAGACTAGGCAGGCAGAAAACTAGCAGACCGCATCCATGAACACCAACTAACAATCAAAAGACACAATGAAAACTCTTAAAATCTTTTGATGTTTCTGGATATGTGTTTCTTGAAGGCATATAATGTCTAAGTTCAATTTCTGTAGTTTAGTTATCATTTGTAAATATGTAAATATATGTAAATATGTAAATATACTATAGAGAAGGTTGATATATAAGGATAAAATATATTGATTTATAGCAAGAGTAAGATTAAGCGTAAGAGTAAGATGTAATGGTAAAGGAATAAGTAAATACATATACTGAAAAATGTAAGGAGATACAAAAGATGTCTTGATGTTGATAACAATGTATAAAGTTTTATTTTATGTTTTTTAAAATTTGAAAACTTAATAAAATTTATTTTTTTAAAAAGAAAACTCTTAAAATCAGAAGACACGGACAGACTCAATCGCCATGGGAGAGTGTCAAGCTAAATGCCAAAAAATGCTAGGGAATTTCTGGTTGCTTGGCATTCAGACAAATCAACCATCAATAGAGCTGTAGAGACAAACCACATTTATATACCATTCCAGAGAGACAATAAAAAGAGCTAAAAAGGAAACAATGGTGAGCTATTTAATTCCCTCTGTTGCTATAAAATAACAGTTAGCAAGTTTACAAGAATTAAAGATCTTTTTTTAAAGGAGGTTATTTTACTGAGAAGTAACCTCTAGTTTATCGCAACTATAAACAACCTGAATGAGGGCAATTGGCTCAAATTGATAGGTTCTAGCAAATGTTTGCAAGGCAAATCAGAAACATTTCAAATAACAAAAAATGAACTCCTCCTTTGTTTGAAAGCTTTCCCAATTGCTTTGCAAGGAGCAACTCCTGCTAAAAGAGCAAGTGGCAGTTGTGGCTAGGAGATTTTGTGTTGAGCACCAGTTGTGCCTCTTCCTGGACTGGGAGTCCCTGCACTCAGTCACTCAAGGCCTGGTCATCTCACATGGGGCTACCTTTGAAGAGTATTTCAAAGCTACAGCTGATGCAGAATGCAGCCACGAGGACAGTTCTTGTGGCCCTTAGGGTGGTTGATGTTACACTGCTATTCCACGAGCTGCACTGGTTGCCAGTTTGCTTCCAGGTCGAATTCAAAGTGATTGCTATCATCTTTAAAGCTCTTCATGGCACAGGTTCAGACTGAGGAACTGTTTCTCAGTGGGATTGGCTCGCCTCACCTACTCCAGCAGAAAGGAGCATGCTGCAGACCCTGTCAGTCAAGGAATTCTGGCTGGTGAGGTCCAGAAGAGTCTTTTCTGCTATGGCTCTTTGGAACATCATGCCTCCCAAGGTTAGATCCGTGCCCACACTTTTGCCCTTCTGAAAGGGGCTGAAGATCTGGCTCTGCAAAATGAGGAACCAATGGGGGAATACCTTATCCCAGAGGTGGTTAATGGACTAAAATATGATCCCCCCTCCCCCCTGGTATGCATCTTGCTCCTTTCCTCCCCATCTTTGTCAATTATAAATTATTTTAATGTTGTTATTTATAGTTTTATTTTTTATTAGGTTATAATATTGTAAGCTGCCTAGAGCCACCTTGAGGGAAGACGGGAAGCAAATAAATCAAATCAACTCAAATAAATAAGGGGCAGAGAGCCAAGAGTTGAAAAAAGAAGACAGTGGCAATCTCTTCACACGCCCTGTCCACATCACTGAAACCTCAAAGAATCCAGAATAACCAGACAAGTATTACTAAAATTAAACATTTGCTGACAGGAGAATTACCAACTACCATCAGGATGGATTTCTGTTGGTGTAATCTGCTACCTGAGCCATCCCTTCATTGCACCTTTTCTCATTTGAGTCATCTGATAGGAAGTTCCAAATGAAGAATCACTGGGTGTCAGCAACCTGGATGTTAAGGTCCAATTTCCTATGGCCCACATTTTTTCTTGTCTGTGGGGCAGCAGTGGCTAAGATACTTAGAAATTTTGACTGGGTTATAAAAGTTGCTATTTTTATCCCACCCAAAATCCGTACTTTGATTGTAAGCCAGCCTGGATAAATCTAGGCTCATATTATTCCAGATCTAAATGTAGTAGCCATATACATCTATAACAGGAGTGTCAAACTTGATTTCATTGAGGGATGCATCAGGGTGGTGCTTGATTTGGGGTGGGGGGGTGGGAGGCGTGGCCAGAATGGCCCTGACCAACTTGATGGCACTCCTGTCGGGGGGCACCTGTGGTGGCCTGAGCGCTCTGCCAGCAAAAAAGGGCTCCCGAGTTTTGCAAAAGCCTCCTACAACCCTCTGCCAGCAAAAATGGAAGCCAGGAGGGCCACACACGCGCTCGGGAGGATGGCACATGGCCCTTCCAAGCTCCATTGTCTCTGGCAGAGGCAACATGGGCCGGTCATTCACTGTTTCCCAGGCGGCCCCGCAGGCTAGATCTAAGCACCCCATGAGCCGGGTTTGGCCTGCAGGCCTTGGGTTTGACACCCCTGATCTATAACATTGCACCTCTACACACAACCCCAGTATGGATTGTTCATTATCACTCTTGTAATCAAAAAATAGAAGATCAAAGCTTTTTATATAAATACTGTGGCAGCTGACAAAGAGTATACGATTGTGTATATAGACAGAAAATGGCAGAGAATCAAGTCTAAACTTATCTAGGCTCTGCTGAAACCAAATTTAAAATATTTTGAGTGATTAACAGGTTTTCTTGTTTAAAAAAGCCTCACACGCATGGGAAAATAGGAGGAGGGAGGTCTGTTGGATATGTTCACTGCCTTGAGTTATTTGTAAAATTAATAAAGATGGGATACAAATAATTAACTAAATAAAAAATATGTGCCCACACATAGAGGAAGAGGAGGATAGCCAGGCGCAGAATAAGGAAGGGCTCACTTACCTCCAGTTAGTGAACTATGTTCTTAAACCCTTTTTCTTCATAATCACTGAAAAGAAAGGCTCTTTGTTCACTGTGTGAAACAAGCTGTGAGCAAGTCCTCCTGCCTACTGTAGCTCCACAGCCGCCAAAGTCATTCAATCACTTTGTCATTATGGCACCTTAAAAATGAGACAAGGAATTTGCTAACTGAGCTTGGTAGGAATCACAACTATTTCTGTTTCTTTCAGGCCCAGAAGCTAATCCCCGAATGTCACCATGCAGTATGGCAAACCAGAGTCAGATAATAAGAGGGTTGAGGGAAAGAGGCTGGTAACAGAACAAGAAGTTCAGCACAGAATCCATGGTATTTTTTTAAAAAAAACTGATCATCATCATTAAAAGCCTGTCACAGCTCTAGTAGTGAGGTCTTTAGCATAGCACCCATGGGTGCCATAAAAGCAGCAGCGGTGGCAAACATGAAGCGAAGTCCCTTCAGACCTTCCAAAATGAATTTTAAAGGCCATTTGCATTTGGCTTAAAGCCCTCTTTCTCAATTATATGAGAACAAGCATCCATAG